TGACAAATTTTGTTACAATAGAGAAGCATTTGGATTTAATCTTACTATACCTTAAGAATGACAGTAGGAATTCTTATTGTTTACCCAGATTTGAATCTGAGAAACAAGATTTGAGAGACAGGGAGATGTGGAAATCATTGAAAGAACCAAATCCTAAAGCTAGAACTCATTTGTAAAAATAAATTGCATTACTCATAAGAGTCATCTCAGAAATCAAACTATACCAATTAGGGTGGGAGGCAAATTTTAAGCCATCAATTATATTCTAAATTACTGGATCTAATTCCTTTTTTTTTTTAAATCCTCACCCAAGGACATTTTTTTTTTTTTTTTTTGCATTTATCTTCAGATACAGTATGAGGGAGAGAGGGAGGAAGAGAGAGAGAAACATCGACGTGAGAGAGACACATTTACTGGTTGCCACCCACACGACTCCAAACTGGGCCGGGGACAAACTACAACCAAGGTACGTGCCCTTAGTGGGAACCGAACCCGGGACTCTCTGGTCCACGGGCCGACGCTCTAACCGCTGAGCCAAACTGGCCAGGGCTGGATCTAATTCTTTTGATGGTAAAAATAAATTAGACACTGACATATGAAATTATTACAAAAGAACAATGCTGAAATGGTGTTGCTGTGTTGAAATGATTATTATGGTCCAAGTGCAAATATATAATTTTCTCTGTTATATCTGAGGAATGTGTGTGACTTATTTAATAAATAATTTGTATTGATTTCATAGATTCAGGAAAGAGTTTTGTGAATAACTACTGATCATCATTGCTCCTCGTTTTTACTTCACTTAAGACATTTTATTAATTCCCCTTCCAAAAATGAGAGTGAACATCAGACCAGTACTATTCACAGTAGAGCACCTACTTCTAGGAAAACAGATTGATGAGAACTCATAAATTATGTTCTCTCTCTTTTTTTTTTTTGTCTTCTAAAGTTAAATATGTAGACACTGGAATCTGGGGACTATTTTGTGAGTTTTTCATATTTTAAAATTTTTGTTATTCCTCAGGATATAGCATTCTTAGTTAAAGGTCTTAGTGAAAGTTGGCAGGGAGGGGACATTATATTCAAGTAAGTTCATTTTGGTTCGATCATTTTATAGAATTACTCTTTGACCATGGAAAAAACTGAAATTTAGGGGAAATTTTTCTTTTTATTATAGGTATGTGATATCTCTAGTTCCAACTAAAGTACAGAAATTTGAGATTAACTTGATAAATCGACATTTTGATACCTATGCATATGTCCCATGTAAAACCCTTACCGTGATACAGCAGTGACCTCTTAGCTCACACAGTCAGAGTCGGGCAAAAGTAGGTTTACAGCTGTGAGTCCACGAAACAGTTTATTCTTATATTTTTCCATATGAGCTGTAAACCTACTTTTGCCTCACCCTGTATTTTTTAAATGTGCAGAAATATTATTGAGAATTTGGTGCAGCGTCAGTTTCTGAGTATTGTTGAATAATCTACCCAACTTGTGTTTCTTAACAAAAGGGCATCATGGTCCCAGATGCATTTCAAATAATTTGTTACGTTCTGAAGTTATACTGCTTTAAATACTTGGAAGACTCGTGGTACTTCTCTATTTTTAACGAGTAAAACCCACAAAATAAAGTTGTCTACGCAGCTTCAGTTTTTTTAATTTTAATTTTAGCATTATCCTCTACTACTTTTTGATAGTTCGAAAACCAGTTAAACCTTTGCCAAAAACTTTAAAAGAACAATCCATCCTAGCTCTACTACCTAGACTTCAGTTTGTTTTCATTTTAATTTCTTCCCCAGTTACAGGTGCATGTTATAGTTTGCATTGTGGTCATTGTGGTGCATTTCATTAAGCTTCTTGTTCTATCTGCTTTCTTGAGACTTGGGAAACAGTATTTTTCTGAGTGATTGTACTATATTGTTCCAAATATAAGGCCACCCAGAATAGAAGGCAACCTCCAACTAGAAACAGCTCAAATATGGAGAAAGGCTGGGGGCCCAGAGCCCGGCGGGTCTTGCAGTGGTGGCAAGGGTGCCGAGGACTAGGACGCTGCCTGCCCGCCCTTCCGGTGAGTGAAGATGAGCCAGAGGCTGCACCTGCTTGTGCACAACCAGCTGGCTTCTGCTGCTGGAGCAAACGTTATCCGGGGGGTAGGGAACGAGTCTGTGTACATGAAAGTAAGTTGCTTTGTGTCTAACTGTGGGGAGGGATGTTGGGAGTAGTCTTTCATGTCCTGAACAGTCATCTCTAGTGGGTTTTTTTTTTCCCTCCCTGAACTTGAGGGTGAAAGTTGAGTAACCCCAAACCCTGGAGAAGAACAAAGGTAGCCTGAACCTTTCATGAAAGGGAGTTTAAAAGGTCAGCGGCCATGAAAATGAATTGTTAGACACTGTGAGATGTCTCTTGCCCGGAAAATTATTCCTTGCCCTTTCAAATTGACCGCTGACCCAAGAGAGCGGTGCATTGTCATGTAGCTTGAAAACCAGCCTCCCTGAAGGTGGGAGTCACATTTCCAATTTCATTAAGATTTTCCTCTTTTTAAATTTCTTGTCTCCTGAGCCAGCCACGTTACAATTTCAATGGGCTTAATCTTATTGAAATACTTTCAAGAGATTGTTGAAAATCATTTGTTTCACTCAGTACCACAGTTCCAAAATACTTCAGTGAAAACGTATTAGTCAACTGAGAGCACGTAGCGACTGACCCTAGGTAATTCTCCAACTATTGGTCTGATTCTCCTAAGCACATAGAAATCGAACCTTTTATTTTATAGTAACTAAAAGAGATGTGTTAGAATGAGGTGCTTGGTTCTGACGCAGTCTAGAAAACTCACCTGTTGGTGTACAGCTCTACCAGGCATTTGGCTACCTTTGTGGCTTCAAAAAAACCCTAAATCTTGATCTTTCCTGTGATTATTAGTCCATGGCTCACAAAGTGAATTTGAAGTTAAACTTGAATCCCTTGGTGATAAAATTTCCCCCACTGTGCAACTCCCAGTATAGTCTTTAATATTATTATTCTATCATTATTTTAAGGAAACTTCTTTAATAAAAGAATATTTGTTATTTTCGGAATAAAGGTACAACAGTGCTAAATTGTCCAGAGGACTTGGTGTAGGGAAGCTATTTATCGTTTTTAGAAAATTTCAAACCAAAATGCCCTGAAAGATAGAGGTCTCATTCCTGAGCAAAAGCATGCTAGGATCGCTATGCCTTCCACTTGGCCAGTTCTGGGAAGGGAACCTGTGAAACAGCAGGACTAGTCAGGAAAGGGTTTGAGAGGAGGGACAGAGAGGGAAGGAGTAGTCTGCCAAGTCAGATTACAGACACAAGATTACAGTCAGAAGACAAAACTGCAGTGGTAGGTCCTAAATGAGAGGTTTGAAGTGAACTCTGCATAACCTCAGAAGCCTTTTCACAAGAGTTCATGAAGGCGAGACTAGTAGAGGACTAGAGCTTCCTGTATAACTCCTCTGTTTGGGAAATACTTGTTCTCTACGGAGGAAGAGAAGGCCCAAACTTTGGCGGTGGCGTTGGAGGGAGGGTGTACCCAATTAAACAACTTCAGATGGTTTCCTTTTTATCATTTATATTGGGTAAAATTATGTCTGATTTGCTCTGAATTACAAATACAGGAAAACAAATATTATATATTTTTTCCCCAAAGGAGGTAGGGGCTATTATAATCAGTTGTCCTGTGTCATCACCTGCTATTAATTTAATCATGAGTAGCGATGAAGGACAGAAATTGGAAAGGTCATCTACATGTCATATTCTATGGCTGCTTCTCCCTGTTGGTTAGTGAGGGTGGGGGCAGGACCTGATTTGTTTCCATAACTCTCTGAGCAAATGAAAGAATGGCCTCCGTTGGCTCGTGAGGTGGCAAGGGTAGCCTTCAAGGATGTAAGAAGTGACAGGGACAGGGATGAGGGACGATATTCCAAATTGCATGCATAATAATTTTTGTAAGAATCGGTGGGAATACCAGTTTCTTTAAAAATGGCATGGTTTGCATAAAACCTAAAACTGTTGCTGCGCTCAGCTTCTCCTTCTATCCCTAAAATGCACAACATAGAAGCTCCCCAATAGATGGTGGAAAAGAAATGTCCAAAACCACATGTGATGCTCTTCCTCAGGGGATGAGAGTCACAGGACCAAGATAAATGGAGCAGCTATTAATCTATTAGGTATGAGAAAAATCTGTAGGTTTGTTGATGGACAGAAATTAAAATCTCTCAGACCCTCTGAATGTCACAATGACCATAAACAGGTTTGGAAATTCCCATTAGATTGCTTTTTGTGGGAGGTTAGATAACTGCTGCCCTTTTTCTGTTCTGATCTGTTACTCTTTCTCCAAGCAATCCCTAGAAAAAGTAGTTTTTATTTTTCTCCGTTTCCTGTATGGGTGACTCTCATAGGTCAAATCAATCATGACGGGTTCTGATTTCTGAGTAACTAACGTGCAGAGTCACTAAACTACAATTATGCAATCTTATCTATTTTGTTTTGCATTTCTAAAAAGACGAGAAAATACTGAATTTGGTTAAAGCTCTTTGGAATCTGTTCCACTATAAGTCTTCCCTCAAAGAAACATTTTATAAGAGAGAGTTTCTCCAGTGCAACAATGTGATGTGTCTGCATTTTCTGCGACATGTGGAATGTGGCATTTGTCTTGCTGAATGAGCATGTTTAACTCAGCTGCGGAGTGACTCACAGATTCCCTATTCTTGAAATGTTTAATGGCCATTCCTTAGAGGGCATTGCTCTCTTCTATAAATCAGAAATGAGATCTGGACATGCATAAAGATGGTTCTTGGTTTATTTTCCTTGCTGGTCAAGCAGCAAATGTATTCCAGTTAACAGGTTGATAGCATAGGAAAGGCTTAGAAAAAAAAATAATAATGAAACCACTAATTCTCATTTGGCAGTGAAATTGAATGACATCTGTGCAGTTATGAACGACTTTTGTTTTAATAACAAAGTTGTTGATTTTCTACTAAGGGTTCTTTTAGGTTGTCATCAGGGGCTGATGGGAATAACAGTTCACCCAGCTCTCCAGCTAGCTTCAGTGGACATAACACACCTTCTCAGCAGCCTGAGCCCGTGGTACATTCTCTTAAGGTAACCAACTCATGTGCAACCATTTCTCAAGAAATCCAGTTGTGTTGTGGTTTGTTTGCTGTAGTCTAGTAGTCCTCACAGTCTTGTTTTAACCCTATATGCTTTATTTTTTACCCCTAATGGTGTAACTTTATCTTAATTTTTGAAGTATGGTTTTAATTTTTTCCACTAACAGTGGATTGGAGTACTTGTGGTTGAACTTCTAGTGTCATCATTTTGTGCTGAGTAATGTGCTTCATTATCTGCATCGAGTTGAACTTGGAGTCTGGTATGCATGCATGTTCACATGTGTAGAATACTGTGATGGGTATTTTATGTGCAATGTTTGTAGCATGGATGTCTTCAACTACAGGGAGTTAATCGTGGGCCAAAGGAAGGGAGAAGACCATATTTTTCTTACTAAAAGAAAGTATTAAAACAAACAAAACCTACTCTTTATCCTCCACTAAATAGAAATGAGGTCTTCAAACTCTAGTTAATGATCCTTTATAGAATATTAGAAAAATAGATATATAGTCTTGCTTATAAAGCTATTTTATTTTTAACTTTTACTTCAAATTCTGTAATGATTTCAAAAAAAAGGCTTGTCTAAAATTTATCATTTAATTTTCTTTACCAACAATGAGCTTTCTAACTTGTAATATTAATAATAAATAAGCAATATAAATATTTACGAGTAGAAACAGATGCAGGCAGTAAAAATCATCTTAAAACCGAGACAGTTCCTTGAAGTTTTATCAATTTCCAAGTAGGAAACACTGTCCTTTCAATGATCTATAATCCCTAACATGTAGCCTTGATGAAACTTTCAGAGCCATAAAGTAGGTTGAGTGCTTCAGTCCTGCACCTGCCACATGAGTTTCACGGTTTTCCTGAAACTGTTTTGGATTCAGCATGATTTATCAACAGACCAAGGATGCGTTCCTTTGGAGTGGGCCACACTTTCCTTGGCATGTGTAAAGCAAATACGTAGAACTTAAAAATATTTGTTTGATTTGGGAATGATTTAGCATTAGCAGATTTTGCTTCCTCATTATACGCTGCTGTCCCTTAGAGGAAATGAGTTTGCTTCTCCCAAGCATAAACTGACTGCTGATGAGGGAAGGTAGCAGAGCCATGCGGTGGCCAGTGGCAATGTGATTGGCGTTTCCTGGCTTGGTTGGGATAACTCACAAGCGAGCAGCTGGGAGGAATGCATGGGAAGGCACGGCAGCGTGAGGGTGCTGCCCTCTGTCTGGTGGGTGTGGTACGTCCACTGAAGAACACGCTGTTTGCCACAGCATCTGAATGCTGCTGAGCAGGAACAGCCTGGTAAATGTGCTGCGACTTGAGCATAGACCAGGCTCTAGCCACCTGTAAAGCATTTTAGAAATGAGAGAGTGGCTTCCGTCCTGTAGTATCAGTGTCTGCACATGCTCCCAAAGTAACACACTGTCCTACTTTTCAGATTGAAAGCTGACTCAGCCCGCTGCCTTATTAATGGCCAGCGCAGTTTGAGTCAGATCAGCAGAGTGGGTCGCACTCTCCGTTTCGCAGTGCAGCTGGGTCAGTATGGCCCGCAAGGAAGGGGCAGGCAAGGAGGAGCTCTGCAACTTTCCCTGAGTTCATTCTCTAATTTTCATATAAAATTTTATCTCTAGAGAGGAAGTTATGATGTTATAATGAGAACACGTAAGTGTCCTCACTTGGCAGATGCGTAACACTGAGCAACTAAAGTATCTTTATTGGATAACTGGAGGCTCTTGAATATAGACCGTGTTCGCTTCCATGAGTTGACTGTGTCTGAAACAGAAATATGTGCAAACCAGCCTGTGGGAAATGCCTCTTAACACTATCTCAATGTAAAAAAACAGTAATCACTCAACATCTTTTGTTTTTAAAAGCCCCCAAACCAGAGCAGATTTATATCATAAGATTCTTCTGTTCTGAAAGGAACAATGAGAACAATGGCTCAGTTTCTTATCTTCTAATAGATTTCCAAAAATTCTCCAGGATTTACTAACTCCGTGGCTATAGTTGGGAGAAGTGTCTGAAGCCAGTGTGAGAAATGAGCTTATTTAAAATAGCACCACATTGTCTTGTTTTTAAATTCATGATAACTATTAATTGGAGCTTCACTTTATTGAGTAGAAATTAACGGGTTGAAGTACACTTGTCTGAGGTGCATTGCAAATCAGATTTGTAAGTAAATGAGCTTGTTCCGACAGTTCTTTAAGTTTCCTATGAATATTCACTGAGCGTGGTCAATGATTTCCTCTAAGTCTATCAAGAATGTGAACTGACTCTAATCTGAGTTGAGTGAAAGGGTCAGGCTTTCATTCACTACAATCATATCCTATGTTAAAGAAGTAGCATCTGTAGAGTAACAGTGGCTAGACGTTTAAAATGAACTAGAGAGTAGTTTGTGGATTAGATTATTTATTGCTGGATTAAACTCTGGTAAATATCAATGTAGTCCAGTACATATGAATTTGAAATGAAGGTCTCCCTTCATGCTTAAGTCATTTATTTTGGCTCAGCTGTTCATCGGTGCCAATTCTCGGCTAACACCTTAGGTGTCGCCATCAGCATTGACCACGAGGACAACAGAACAAGGAGTTTAGCAATGACAGGGTGGATTCTACAGGAACTTCTGGGAAAAGCATTATTATTTTTTATGCTACACTAAAGCACTGGCTTATTAGCTGCAGAAGAAAATAAATAGCACTGAAAGCCTAAGTTTTATACCATAGAAAGTATTGGCATGAAAACTTTACAGACATTTTAAAAGGAATAGTATTTTCAATCTATTTAGTGGTAATTTGGAGAAATGGAATCTAAGATTGTTTAAAAGCATCTCATCCCCAGATACTTTGCTCTAATGAAAAATATTTAAAGTGTTGCTCGAATATTTTCACTACAAGGAGTCAGTGTTTCTCATTGCTAAAATCAAAGAACTGTCTCCATAGTCCTTTCCGACCACTGAGAATGCTCAAGAACACTGAGGTCAGTTGTGTTAATGTCAACAAAGTTCTTATGTACATATTCCTGGATTCTGACCAGTTTCACCATCACTGTCATCTTTTTCAGTCATCTTTTCTATAGGCCATGTCTACATATTATTTGGACTGTTTGGTGTATAATTAATTATATTGCTCCTTTTTACAATGGAGCAAGAATTGTTGACTCTCTAAATCATTGACACAATCAGGTTATCTTAATGATTCAATTAACCCAATGATCCAATAAATGCATCTACTTACTTTAGACATTAATAAATTCAATTGGTTCTTGGTGATGCAATAGATTGTTTTTAATGGCCATTTGAAATCAAGTAGAATTGACTCCAGACAAGTTTCACAACAAGGAACTAGTTTAAAAGATTTTGCCATATACATATCCTCTGATATGCAGACATGGAGAAAAGGAGAGGTTTCACAGAGTGGAGCTCCTTGATGGTCTTATTCTATAACTAACAAGTATTTTTTTCCCCCCATGTGAAATTTGCTTTTCTTTTTCAACAAATCCAGGTCTTGGATGTTCAGGAAACTATAGATCGTCAACAGGGTAAAGAGTATGAACATGACCTTAGTGAGACAGAAAAAGCTATAGTCAGAGAAATGTGCAATGTAAGTTTACTGTGCTCTGTTGTGTATTCTGTGTTAAAGCCTCATCATAGCTTAGTTATTGCTTTATGAATATCTACTTTTTAAAATGCTGGTCAAGTATCTTAATTCATTATGTGAAAATAAATTCAGCTCCCCTTGTTTTTATCTTTAGTATGTTTTATTGCAGTGTCATTAACACAATGTTATAAAATATTCAGGTAAGCAATAATCAGCCAACATATTCTAGAATTATGAAAGTTTCTATCTAATAATAAAGGTACCATCTAAAATATTACTAATTTTGATAAAATAAATGGCTGTTTCATGATTTTAAGAAGTTCCTTAGAAATCAGTGTTTATAACCTGTGACAAAGAAAGCATAGCCTTCGGATTTATTTGTAACTATACTTGAGGAAAAATTCACCTGCATAATAGGTAATATTTGCTAGGTTCTTCATGCATGTGCTATGTGTGCTTCATGACATGCAAAATATTATCTTTACCTTTCAGTGGTTGAGACAGCTCAGAATATAGTAATAGGAGATAGAGACACACAGAAATCTGTGAAGTCATAGAGAGACAGTAAAAAAACAGTCATGGTATTTTTATGATACATACCTTATGTGATCATTATATAGTTTGGATTTTATTATTAATCCCTGACTAAATTTTAATTATTTCAGCAATATGCATGGATGTATCATTTAATCAAGAATATAGTTGTAAAGCTTATTAAAAAAGCTAACTAGAATATTATAGAGGAACATTTGTTAAAAGCAAAAACAAAAAAAACCTTGGCAGATTATATTAATCACTCATTTTAATTGGCTTCATATATATTATGCTTTTATCCTTTGTCCATTAGGATATCAAAATTGCTTAGAAATACTCTTAAGCTTTAGGCTATTAGGACCAGATATGCTCAGATACCTCAACCTCTTTGAAGTCTTCTTGGAATCCAGTAAAATTCCGTGGGCATTTTATATGTGCTGAGGAAAGAGTGGGTCTCCTGCTTGCTTATGTTGTGGCTGTTTTTCTTTTGCAACCTTTTCAAGTAATTTTTCTTTCTTTCCTGCATATCTGTTTTTGTCTATTTTCAAAAGTCATTAGTTTTAGATGGCATGATTTCCTAAATGCATCACTGTTTACCCTCCATAGCTTTTTAGCCTGTTCTTAGGGTTTTCTATTTGAATATTTCCCTGAGAGAAACTTAAGAATTTCAGCCACACACCTAGGAATGCCTGGTGCTTCTCATCTGTAAACTATGGAATGAGTTCAGACAGACATCATAGGAACTGTAGAACTAGAGGGGGCCATAGAGGGAAGCCCCCAGAGGGTCTCCAAAGAATAGTACTTGGAATTCCTTCATAATTCAGAGACCTGAGTTTTACCCCAGACCATGGGCAATTACCTAGCAACTACTAGGTAAGAACCCTACACTCCCATTTTATGTTTGAGGAAACAAAGACCCTGAAATTTGTTAACCACTCAAATTAAATGGCTTGCTCAGATTGCTCTCCACTGAACAGTTAATAAGCAGGAGTATACCCAGATCTCCCTACTTTCCCATGTATGGTAAATCTGGGGACTTCCATTTTCTTTCCTCAAGAATAAAAAGCAATGCATCTTACATCTCCTTGTGCTTAAGGCCAGAATTTTTATTTTTCTTGCCTCTTTTCTAAATTGTAGATGAAAGATTTCTAGACATTAGAAAATCTGTTTCACAGAAGAGACTGACTGACTTACTCATGGGTTGTATCTTGATTCGTTTATATGGATCTTTTTATTTGCCTGTATTTCCAAAAGTGCTTCAAAAGGCCACATGCACTGGTACTGATGATTTTCCCTATAGAAGATATTTTCCTGAAGCCAAAAGCTTGCCCTCCTTGTTTGCCTTTAAACATTCTCTAGGGAATCTTGTCTAACTGTCCATATTTGTCTTTGATGCTCATAATTTGGGGGGGGAGGGGAAGCTAGCCCAAATATGACAATTAGTACTCATATATTTGGAAACTACTTAAAGGTCAAGAGAAAAAAAGTGTTGATTTAAAATATTTGCATCACCATTATAAAGCACATGAACATAAAAAACATAAAGCGAATATTGGAAAATAAAAATATTTTTCTTTATTTTCGAGACATTTTCATAGCTAAGTCATTTCTTAGGTTTCACAATCTTCACTAGTATCTATTACAGGAACTATGTGTTTTTATATTAATGCCCAGAAATATAAAGCTTTCTCACGATGTGAGATCAGTTAGAAGTTGTTGACATGTATACAATGAAAGACTGTTATTCATAGCACATCGTGTTGATTAGTACGCATGAAGGACTTTATTCTCTTCCCAAACTGTGCCACAGCAATCAATATACTGCCCTCTAAGAAACAGTAAATCTATTTTTTGTATTAATGGTTTTATCTTAGGTTTCTAGGACTCTTACAAATCCCCCGAGAACAGTTGAATTACTTCATCGGTGTCTGAGATTGTGACCTAGATAACCAACCTATTTTGTTCTTAGTTAACAGGTCACTATTCTGTGTCCACCTTAGAACCACTGGCTTATTTCAGAGTTCTTCCCGCTCTGTGTTTTCCTTTCACAACACAGCCCATTGCCGTCTATGTCTGAGTACTTGAAGAAGGGTTGCATTTTGAATTGTAACTATCTCATGCTTTGTGTCTATGATTCTTTGAGGTCTTGAGTTTATCCTCTGCTTCTAAACCGGAAATTTAAAGCAGGCTGGGAAGGTGTAATTATATTTACAATGTAAGGGCTAGAAAGAGATGCTACCTTGGCTTCCTGAGTAGAGGTTTGTACCTCTTCAGTGAATTTATTAAGAAATGAGATTTTCCTAACTCCCTTGTATAGAGTTTGAGCCATCCATTGCTATGACGTTCCTTTCCAGTAGTCAAGGACCATAGCAACAACTCTTCAAATATGACAGAACTTTTCTGCCACATAGTAGTGTCTGCTAAAACACAGAGACACAGTTGCATTGGCTTACAAATGGAAGTAGACAGAACCCTATATTGTGCTTACTGGGTTTCTCTGGAGTATCTACTCTATTCACAGACTATTTGTTTTTCTTTTAAATAATGAATGAACCGAGTTTTGTGTTCATGTTATAGCCATGTAAACTTTTGTGGAATTAATCAATCTGAACATAATCTTTACAGTGAAACACTCTAGGAATGTTATGATTGTTACTATGTGTGCATTTTCCAATTACTGTACCATTGGTGAATTCAGTAGTTTTACCTTATGTTGTTATTAATCTTACCTTTACTAGTGTCCCTTTAAAATGGCTCAATTTTAAACTTATTGTAATTGCATCTAGTTCAATGATTCTTTAATTTATTCTTTTCCCTGCATTTGATGCTTTCTGTTTTGGTCATCTGAGAGATCGTACTATTTGGTAGCGAGATTTATGACTGAAGCCCCAACTCTGCAGGGAAAATCAGAGAAATTTACTACTGGCCCTAAGGCTATCATCACAGGACTTAAATAGCTCAAGATTAAAGCTTCTTCATTTTCCTTTGATATCCCTTGTTATAGGAGTATAATATAGGAACCAGAATGATTTTGCTTAGGGGTTCTTAATTCTAGCTATGCATTAGAATCACATTGGGAGCTTTTAAAAAATACCATGCCTCACCTCTCCAGGTGCACAGTGTGCAGCTAGGGAAGCGTCACTCAGATAACCAGACTAAGTTGGCACAGCATTCCTTAATTTTGACCCTGATTTCTAACAAAGCCTAGTGGTCCCATCAACTGAGTAGTCCTTGTGATTTAGATGCTTGCACCACATTTTATTTTGTTTGTGTTTGAGCTCATTTGTGTGGATCTTTTGTCTCTTGTGTTCAGATTCCTCTTTGCCCCTCTCATAGATCCCTCTTAAAAAACACATCTTTGGGGAAGAGAACAATTAAGATGCCTTTTTGTTGTTTTTTTTTAAAGGTTGTGTGGAGGAAACTTGGAGATGCTGCAGGTTCGTGTCCTGGGATTAGACAGCATTTGTCTGGAAACCAGTACAAAGGACCCATGTGAGAAACACACTTTCAAGCAGGAGATCACCACTGCCAGAAACAGGAAAGAAGAAAGGAGTGGATTTCCACAGACCTGAGCTCATGGAGTGATTGTACATTGCAGCACATATTTTCCCTCTGCAAACCTTTAGTATAACTAAAGCTGTATTTTATGTCTCTCGCTTTGATGTCTACAGTAGTCAATTTCAAACAAGGTAGCTTTGAAAATCACCATTTTGGTACCAGTATTTTCATTAGAACTAAAACATTTTTGACTCCTTAGATCTAAGATTATAATTGGGAAACACGCATGATTGGAAGAGTGCAGTAGAGCCCTGGTGGTTTTGATAGTTGACTCATTGCATTTAATGGTGGGAGTTTATTACCACGTTGTATTGAAGATGATAAGAGGTGGGTGGGTGTCTTCCAAATTCCCAACTTTGAGAGTTGAGTACCTATTTCTTATATTTTAGTCAGCAAAATACTAGTTCCTGATGCATAATTTAGATGCAAGATAAGATTAGGTTTCTGGGATTTTGTTTTGACTTTTGAGGTGCTAACATACCACATAAATTCTCCTTACCAACTGGTAGCAAGACTTTTAGAGTGCTTATCAGAAAGTACCATTTATTTCAAATGATCAAAATAGATATATCTTTTCTTTTAATCTTGAGATATTTTTCATGAAGACACATCTTGGGGACATGTCAACCTCCATAATCTTTCAGTGTATCCATTGATGTTAATATTAACAATTTCAATTAAAGAACAAGCAAACAGTTTTTCTAAGTGTTTTCAGCTGTGAGATGTCAATTTCTACAATTTAGTTTCTAGACATGCTGTTATATTTAATAAACTTCATGTAAACTTTAAAATATTGCACTGCATTTACGAAAAGCTTTCTTTGTCTACAGCAGCTATCTAATATTTTATGAAAACTGACGCATGTCCTTCATTATCGAGGCTAAAAGCTTTGTTCAGATTGCTTGAGGTTTGAAAAGAGGCGTGCTAGCTTTGCTCACTTTATTTCTTATTTTTGGTATATATATATATAATATTAGACTGTGTGTATTGGAAATGCTATGATAGGTATTTTGTGTTTATTCCAATGCAATGATAGTTCTCGTATGAATGTGCAAGAGGCCCGTGACAGAATGCTAAGTTTTTACTGTAGTTTAAGATTATTAAAGTAGGAATGCAACAATTCCCAGTTTTCATATTTCTTCTAAATTACTCATTTATAGCAGAGTTCTGTTGTTTTAAAATGGGCTCATTACACAGTTTATTAATGGTCATTGGTGAAGGGGTTTTGTTAAAATGTTGTGATGAAAAAAGTCCTCTGCTCTCAGAAAATATTTATGACTTAATTTACTATAGAATAATCTCTTTAATTATTGTAATTGGGTTACACTTAAACCTATCTGTCTTTTATATTTTTAAATTATTACTACTCAGTAAAAGAAAATTGCTTGCTATATTTACACCTTCTCGTTAGAAAAGCTTTCATCCTTAAATTGTTGTATTCCTTCTCTCCGAAGACATTTAAAATAAGTTTTTGTGCCTGCAGAAGCTAATACAAGGAACACTGGTCTTTTGACAAAATACTTGTGTAAATTTTGATACTGTATTAAAACTATTTTTTTAAAGTTCCGCATAAAATTGAGTATCCAGTATGTGTTCATCTTAGCACTGGTAATAAATTATTTAATCTCACAGTGTTATTTTTTTTCTTCAAAATGTTTTTTTCTAAATGAGATTTCTAATCATGACTAAATATCATAATGCTCTTGTATGATGATAGTAATACAGATGACTTATTGAATATAAAAGAAAGGCATGTTTTTAAACATGTTTACATGAGAGATTTAGTATTCAGATTTTCTTCAACTCATACTATTCTCTATTATAATGTAGTAAAAATTTTAGAATAGTTTGTGATATAAAACCTTTATTCTTTTAATTCGTATAGACCTAACTCACTTATTATTTAAAAATCACCAGAAGGAAATTTACTGAGGGTGGCAATACTAACGAAATTAAAAACTTAACCTCTGTATTTAGGAAGCTTATATATTACTAGGGGAGGAAGTAATATACACATATAACCAAGATATAAATCAGAAAACACATGCATGTATGATCAAGGAACATGTTTCTTAGAGCTCACTAAGATTGTGGAATAGGGCTTCTTACATTTAGCATTAACTCCAACTTTGACTGACATAGCAGATGGACAGCCCAGGGCCTGAGTCTCACTGTTGCCTACTGTGTTTATCAATACAAGTCAGTGGCACTGTTCTCCTATGTGACCAGTGTATTGGTTTATTATTTGATTTTATTTTCCCTAGAACAAAGGTTAATTTACAGATCTTGGCAGAATACTTTTTTCCAGCTTTGAAGCTGATAGATATCAGAATCTAAGCTTTTTAAATGAATGAATGTTAAGTTTCTAGCACATGCTCAAACGTTCATGGAAATTAACAAGGAAGAAAGCTAGAAAAACCACGAATGCCTGGAGGTTAAACATGCTCATGAACAACTACTGGGTAAAAAAGAAAAAAGCAGGAGATCAAGAAATGATGTAGGATGGCAACAGAACAGGTAGACACTACACTCACCTCCTTCCTGGACCAAACTGGAAATGCAGCTAAATTATAGAACAGTCTTAGTAACCAACTGAAGACTAGCTGAACAGAAGTCATATAAGCAAGAATTTACAGAAGCAGCTACATTGAAATTGGTAGGAAGGGCAGAGATGTGGATGGAAACATGGAAAGGGCGGGCCCTGCTCTCACAGGCTCCCCAGCCCAGAGCACCGGGGCTGGGAAGAGGTGCCCATATAACATCTGGCTGTGAAAATCAGTGGGGATACTGTCTGGCCAGGGAGACTGGAGTCTGCTAGAGAAACAGGCGCCCTCTTACAGAACCAGCACACAAACTCTCATTTGTGTTGCTCGCCCTGGGTTCTGGCAGTGCGAGGGTAGAGCAGACTGGGGTTTGTGGCTCTGGGGAGGGAGCTGAAGGGACAGCCACCAGGATCCTTTTGCTGAGTCCCTTTTCCATACCGCAGATGCCATCTTTCTTGGGTGGAGCACTCGCCTCCTTGGAGCATCAGCCTGGAGGAATGAAATACCCCCACACTCTGGACTCCCTACTATTCTACCCTGAGGAACTCCTGCCCTGATGAGGTGTCAGCTAGCTGCTACCCTGAGGAACTCCTGCCCTGATGAGGTGTCAGCTAGCTGCCTGGACTGGGTGTAGAGGTCCGGCCAAACTCTGGGGGTGTGAGTGACTGAGCCGTGTGGCTTTGGGGTGGCGGCCGTTTCCTCCACTATCCTATGAACCTGCCCAGCAGTCCCTCTCCTACACAGGAAATCCAGTGGCCCCACCTGGCTGAGCCTGGGCTCCCAGCAGAATCTGAGACAGACTGAATTGTGTGGCTCCAAGATGGAGGCCATTTTCCCTCACCACCCAGCCAGTGCAGAGTCTTGCCTTCACATGGCCAAATCTGGTCTGTTTGAGCCTGATAATCCCTGCTGGCCTCCCCGTGAGGACTCCCTGAGAATCTGCCCCACCACAAACGTCTGTGGGCACCCAGCAGGGTGGCAGCTGGACTTGGTATACCCTGGGACTTTTGCAGAGTGGCCTCAGACCCAGTACTGGCACCGAGTTTGAACCTGTATCAAGCTGGTGAACACTGAGAATCTATCTGGTGACTCACTGAGAATCTATCTCATGTAACTTGAAGACTGCCAGAGGCTCATTCAATGATCACAAAAGATCCTGAATAGCCATAGCAATCTTGAGAAAGAACAACAAAGTTGGAGGAATCATGCTACCTGATACTAGACTCTACTACAAGACCATAGTAATCAAAACAGCATGGTACTGGTATAAAGACAGATATATAAATCAATGGAACAGATTAGAGCCCAGAAATAAACCCACACATTTATGGTCAATTAATATTTGACAAAGTAGGCAAAAACATACATGGGGTAATTGACAGTCTAGTCAACAAATGTGGTTGGGAAGATTGGACAGATACATGCAAAAAAATGAAATTAGACCACCTTCTTATACCATAAACAGAATAAACTAAAAATGGATAAAGACTTGAATGTAAGACTTGAAACCATAAAAATCCTTGAAGAAAACATAGGTAGTAAAATCTCGGACATTTCTTATAACGATATTTTTTTTCTGATACATTTCCTTGGGCAAAAGAAATAAAAGAAAAAATAAACAAATGGGACTACATGAAACTTAAAAGTTTTTGCATACCAAAGGAAACCATCAGCAAAATGAAAAGACAACCCATTGAGTGGGAGAACATATTTGCCAAAGACATATCTGATAAATGGTTAAAATCCAAAATTTTTAAAGAACTGATAAAACTAAACACCAAGTCCTGGCTGTTTTGGCTCAGCAGTTAGAGTGTTGGCCCGCAGACCAATGAGTCTTGGGTTTGATTCCAGTCAAGGGCATGTACCTCGGTGTGGTTCATCCCTGGCCCGGGTTGGGTGGTTCAGGAGGCAACCAATTGATGTGTTTCTCTCACATCAATGTTTCTCTCTCTCTCCCTCCCTCCCTCCCACTCCATCTGATGATAAACAGAAAAATATCCTCGGGTGAGGATTAAAAAATAAAAACACAAAAAAAACCTCAACACTAAAACATCACTAATCATCAGAGAAATGCAAATTAAAACCACAAAGAACTATCACCTCACATCTGTCAGAATGGCTGTCATCAATAAATCAATAAACAAATGCTGGTGAGGATGTGGAGATAACTCTTGTGCACTATTGGTGGGAATGCAGAATGGTGCAGCCACTGTGGACAATAGTATAGCGTTTCCTCAAAAATTAAAAATGGAACTGCTTTAAGATTCAGTGATTTCATTTCTGGAAATATATCTGAAAACACCCACAACACCAACCAGAAAGAATTTATGCACCCCTCTGTTTATTGCAGTGTTATTTACAATAGCCAAGATTTGGAAGGAACCCAAGTGCCCATCAGTAAATGAGTGGATAAAAAAGTTGTGGTATATTTACACAATAGACTACTACTTGGCCATAAAAAAGGAAATATTACCTTTGTAAAAGCATGGATGGACCTGGAGTGCATTATGATAGTGAAATAAGCCAGTCAGAAAAAGATAAATACCATGTGATTTCACTTATGTGTAGAATTTAGTGAACAAATAGAAATAGACTCAGAGACAGAGCAGAGTGACAACTTGCAGGGGCTGGGGGGCTGGGTGAGAAAGGTGAAAGGATTAAGCAAAAAACAAACAAAACCTCATAGACACAGACAGCAGTATGGTGATTACCAGAGGGAAAGGTGGGTGGAGGGATATAGAAGAAGGTAAAGTGAGGATAAATGGTGATGGAAGATTTGATTTGGGGTGATGAACACACAATACAATGTACAGATAATGTATTATAGAATTGTACACTTGAAACCTATATAATTTTATTAAGCAATACCACCCAATAAAATCAATAAAAATTAAAAAATAGAACAATTAAAACAATAAGATCAAATGGTAGAGACAAATAAAAATGTAAACACGACATACCAACATTTCTGAGATGCAGCAAAAGCAGTACTAAGAGGTAAGCTTATACCTTTACAAGCCTACCTCAAGAAACAAGAAAAATCCTAAATAATCTAACATTCACCTTAAAGAACTAGAAAAAGAAGAACAAAATCCAAAGTCAGTAGAAGGAAAGGAACAATTAAAAATCAGACTGGAAATAAATAATACCAAGAACAAAGAGACATAGAAGAAAATGAAACAAAGAGCTTTTGTTTGAAAAGATAATATCAAATCAATCAATGTGATACAGCACATTAACAAAATAAAACATAAAAATCATATGATTATATCAATAGATGCAGAAAAAAGCATTTGAAAGGATATAACATCCATTTATGATACAAAAAAATTCTCAGTAAAATGGGTATAGAAGGAAAGAACCTCAACATAATAAAAGCCACATATGACCCTCAGTGAACATCATATTCAATGGTGAAAAGCCTAAAGCTTTAACTAAGATTAGGAAAAAGACAAGAATGTCTATTCTTGCCACTGCTATACTGGAAACCCTAGCTAGAACAATTAGTCAAGAAAAAGAAATAAAAGGCATCCAAGTTGGGAATGCAGATGACATGATTCTATATATAGAAAACTCTAAAGACTTCACAAAAAATAAAAACCTGTTAGAAACGATAAACAAATACAGTAAAGTTGCAGGATATAAAATCAATATACAAAGATCTGTTGCATTCCTATATACTAACAATAAAATATATTTACAATTGCAGAAAGCAGAATAAAATCCCTAGGAATAAATTTAAGAAAACAGGTGAAGGACCTGTTCACTGAAAACTTCAAGACATTGTTAAAAGAAATTGAAGAAATGATGAAATAGAAAGATATTCTGTGTTCATGGACTGGAAGAGAACATTTTTTAAATGACCATATAAAGCAATATATAGATTTCATGCAATCTCTATCAAAATATCAATGGCATTTCTCACAAAAATAGAACAAAAAATCCTCATATTTGTATGAAACCGCAAAACACTCCAAATAGCCAAAGCAATCCTGAGGAATAAGAACAAAGCCAAAGGTATCATACACCCTGAATTC